ATGCCGAGGTGAAGTCCTCCAACTAGAATAGTGGGGAGTTTGTTCCACTATCAAAGTGTAACATGGAAATTTCTCTTGTTTCACGTACAACTCCTGGTTACCTTATAACATTAAGTGGGCCAAGTGTGTAACACTGAACGTGATGCGATAGCAGCCTGAACGTTAGTACTGTATCAATACCGAAAAAACATTCCTCTGTATAAAATGCTTTTGTTGCTGCAGATATATCTGCTACAAACAACGTTAGACATACGTGTGCATATCACTAAAATGGAAACCTCTTTATCTGACACTGTGTCACTGCAATGCCACCAAAACCTCGGGGTCTATGTTCCCTATATGTTAGTTCTGGAGCTGGTTATTACTGCTGCACCACCTGACTGCCACAGCTGACCCTAACCCTGAATGACATAGTTTCAGAGATGGGGCAGGATGGGATTGCTGGAGTTTTATTTGACTCTCACTTCACCCTTAATGGTAGAAAATTAAAGGGAGAAGTTAGTTAATGCAGCTTTATGAGTCAGTCATTTCATTTTTAGTTATTTTTTATTACAACATTACATCATTTCTTACATAAGCACTTCAACACTATGCAATAATTAAAAATAAAACATTGTACTAAAAGTAGACACTTGATATATAAGAAAAACTAATAAAATAATAGTGGAGAAATCTGAAAAACAACAAACAAAATGTTCCAGCTCTTTGACTATGACATAACGAGCTAGTTATTAATGTCGCCCGTATCCCAGACTAACTACACACTAGGCTCACTGACGTTAGACACCTGGTTGACACAGACTGTCTCCATACCACTGTTGTTTGTGTGAACTACAGCTGATACAACGTGTTATTGAACGCTGCTCGGTGGCTAACGTTAGCGTTAGCGCCCAAGGTACCAGCACAAGGCTGAAACTACTGCTATTTACTGTTAGCTTCCAGGCTAACGTTAGCGTTAGCGCCCAAGGTACCAGCACAAGGCTGAAACTACTGCTATTTACTGTTAGCTTCCAGGCTAACGTTAGCTCGGCGGACAGGCAAATATCGGTGTAGCTAATTTTGAATATAAATGTACCTTAAGTAGTTTAGCCACTTTGTGTTCCCAGTCTTTGCTTGTGTTCAGAATTGTTCGGGTGTTTTGGCCCCTTTCATCGCTCAGAAACAACAAACCGTTTCCATGACGACCAGGTTCCGGGCCGCTGTGCAGTGCGGTGTAACCGCGAAAACAGTGACTAAAACTGATTTGATGAGTTGAAAATGCTCAGCTAACCCACAGTTGTGATCCAGGAGCGACATTCCAGGATTTAACTCTTCATAAAGTCGCTTCTCGGACTGATACTGGCCATAGAAACAGTCTGCAGGTCAGACGAAAGTCTCGGTAACAGTTCAGGGGAGTTCATGTTGATGTGAGGACAGCTGAATGAACAAAGTCAGTGTGACGGAGTTCAGCTGACTATAATCAACCAGTTGTTTGTTCTTATTTGCAGATCAGCTCAGCATCGAGCTAATGTCTGCTAATGTCTAAAAGCCTCTTGGCTATTAAAAGCTGTCCGATATAACACTACTCTTGCCGTATCTTATATTATCTTGTTCGCCTGGTAGTTTCTCTTTTTTTATTTCAACATGCTTAATGCAACACAACCCCACATGTCACAGTCAACAAGTAACACAACAAATCTAAACATATCAAAGCATATCTGAACGTAACACCGTATCATTCAAGTAAAATAAATACAAACAATATTTTAAGGCAAAAAGTAAATAAAACATGAAAAGGTGGTGACAAAATACAGCATTATTCAGTTATAGTTGATTCTTTATATACTGAAGAAAATGAGACCATACTTCATTAAACTTCCTTTGGTATTAATTGTTCCTTGTGATTAAAGATTCAAAAGAGGCAGCTCAGTCATTAATTTTAACCAGTCAGGTAACGTAGGCTTGTCGGCTCTTCCATTGGTGAAGAACAATCCATGAAGCACCTGTAAAACCTGCCAGTCCAAGTCCAAATATACCTACATACTGTACATGTCCACACAACAGAAATTGGTCATCTTGCTTCAGTATTTGGGTCTGTTCACAGAAGGTGACCCTCACACCTTATCTATGGATAATCACTGTAGTCAGCCTGATCATTCTTATTAGTATTATTATTATTTTTATTGGTATAGAATGATCTCAGGCCTTATAAGTTGTGATTTTTAAAGCTGAATATGATGGTAAACACATAGACTATAATACAATTATAGTATAAAGGAGGTAGCTGCCTATAACTGCAGGTTGGTATTGTTTGGGAGGATTTGGGGTCTTGTCCTGAATTAATAACATGTAAGAAGGAGGTCTCTTATATGGGAACTCTGTTGGCAGGTTCATGGTAGTCAATTACTGAGTGAAGATCTCCGCCAAGAACCTCAAGCAGTGTTTGGAGCTCCAATATGTTTCAAATGTGCCACCTTAGTGTGAGAGGTAAAGCTTTATTTCTATGTCCAGGGGTACGCATGTCGTGGCCTTCAAACACACGACACAAGTACTGTCTTGTGTAAATAATGAACTGTGTGTGGTTTTTACAGTTTGTTCATGTCTGTGTTTAGAAGCAGTTCTGAGAAGAAACAGGTTACAGGTCAGCCCCTGGGTCAGTAGGAAGGTGTGACTGGGTGTCATTCAGGACCAGTCCAAACCAGTCCATCAGTAGAAAGGTCAGAACGACTTCAAATACACAGGATCTACGTCAGTGGCCGGTCCACAGCTGGTCAGCAGCCACAGCCCCACAGACACTATGTTCAAACTGAACATTTGAGACGCAGGACCTAAAAACAGAACAGCCACCTTTAAACAGCTTATTTTCTGCCGTTACACGTATTTCAGTGAATTTACTTGGTTTTGCCCTTCACAGGAAAGAGGGCAAACTGGAGTGAGCATGAAGGCACCAGCAGGGGGCAGCAGATCCCCATCTGTGTGTCAGCAGCTTGGACCAGATAAAACCATGCAGCCTCTCACACACACACACACACACACACACACACACACACACACGTTAACATTTCTGAGGCTCCCTAAGGTGTCTGTTTGGAGGCACAGCTCTCATCTTCGTTCTTCTGGTTCTTCCTGTGGAACACCTTTTCGTCAGGTTCCACCCATCTCAGCTTTGCTCCTGCATCTAGGCTGTGGTCTCTGGTTAAACTGGGACACACAAAGGGGAGTGGGGGTGTTACTGTTAATGGAGCCTCTCTTCTGTAACAGTTTAGACAGTGACAACATAATAATGCTAGTCTCTTAAACACAAATGCAGAAACAGGTGATTTCAGTGAGCAGACTCACACAGATGACAGCATGATGCAGGCAACATCTGTAGTTCCCAGGCATAGCAAATACAAAAACCTCAGTCCATTACTTAACTAAATACAACCACACAAACTGGTGGAGAAGCACAGGGGAGTACATGAACAAAGCCAAGCTTACTCAGCACAACACAAAGGAAACGGGTACTGTAGGTGGACAATATGCAGCGCTGCAGGTGAGTGTACACATACACAACACTTGACAGGTGTGTCTTCCTTTTCACAGTGATAAACCAAAAAGTCACAGGTAGGCAGCCTCCTATAAATCCTCTCCACACTCAGCTGAGTATCCCTGTGCTGCTCATTTTTTGGCTGCACTGCCAGTTTTTGTGGGTCAGCGGTGACCCACAGAATTTTTGGCTTTGTATTTCATCACAACCAAACAATTTTATGTTAAAATACACAACAGATGTTTACATTTGCCCTATACCTTTGTTAGTGCTACTCTTATTTTGTTTTTTAATAAAATGTAATAAATACACATAAGGTTCTGTAGATGGCTGATGCTCAGTCTCATCTTCTTCTCCAAACTGTCACTGTCAAACTCTGAGTTTTCAGAAATGTGAATGCAAGGCCCTCTGAACATACGGTAGATTCCTTTGGCCGTCTTGATCGGCTGTGATATCAGTTGTGCTAAGGAACTACACTGGCATTGCTGTATTTATTGCGTCTGTTTTGTGGGTGTTGCACCCACAGGACAGAGGGTGTGGTGTGTAGGGTGTGGAATATGCGAGCAGACAGGTGTGAGCATGTTAGCTTAGTAACATTAGCATTTAGCTTAGTGCCAAGTGCAGCCTCATAGAGCCACACTGACTTTTCTTGCCGTAATAGCAAAAACAGGGGAATGTGTAAGTGCATGTGTGTCTGCCCATGTTCCACCACTGGGATAACCAGCATCCCACATCCTGAACCCAGTCTGTCCTGGACCATACTAATTCCAGTTTTCCAGAGACCACGTCCATGCTTGAGGATCAGCATGCAGTCCAGTCCAGACATTGGCAACACTGCCTATCAGCTCACTGAGCTTGGCCAGTTCTTGTTCATCAGGTTCAGTGGCCAGGTCGGTGTATGTCAACTTGCAGTAGCTCTGAGCCTCAGCCCAGGTTTTTGCCTTTGCAACCAGAATGTAGGAACAAGGAAAATTGGGATCATTACTGAGATGCTCAGTGATACAGTCACTGCACGGACACTCTGATACAGTGGGTACGGAAAGTATTCAGACCCCCTTAAATTTTTCACTCTTTGTTATATTGCAGCCATATGCTAAAATCATTTAAGTTCATTTTTTTCCTCATTAATGTACACACAGCACCCCATATTGACAGAAAAACACAATTTTTGACATTTTCACAGATTTATTAAAAAAGAAAAACTGAAATATCACATGGTCATAAGTATTCAGACCCTTTGCTCAGTATTTAGTAGAAGCACCTTTTGAGCTAATACAGCCATGAGTCTTTTTGGGAATGATGCAACAAGTTTTTCACACCTGCATTTGGGGATCCTCTGCCATTCCTCCTTGCAGATCCTCTCCAGTTCTGTCAGGTGGGATGGTAAACGTTGGTGGACAGCCATTTTCAGGTCTCTCCAGAGATGCTCAATGGGGTTTAAGTCAGGGCTCTGGCTGGGCCATTCAAGAACAGTCACAGAGTTGTTGTAAAGCCACTCCTTCGTTATTTTAGCTGTGTGCTTAGGGTCATTGTCTTGTTGGAAGGTGAACCTTCGGCCCAGTCTGAGGTCCCGAGCACTCTGGAGAAGGTTTTCGTCCAGGATATCCCTGTACTTGGCCGCATTCACCCTTCCCTCGATTGCAACCAGTCGTCCTGTCCCTGCAGCTGAAAAACACCCCCATAGCATGAGGCTGCCACCACCATGCTTCACTGTTGGGACTGTATTGGACAGGTGATGAGCAGTGCCTGGTTTTCTCCACACATACCGCTTAGAATTAAGGCCAAAAAGTTCTATCTTGGTCTCATCAGACCAGAGAATCTTATTTCTCACCATCTTGGAGTCCTTCAGGTGTTTTTTAGCAAACTCCAGGCGGGGTGTTTTTCAGCTGCAGGGACCGGACGACTGGTTGCAATCGAGGGAAGGGTGAATGCGGCCAAGTACAGGGATATCCTGGACGAAAACCTTCTCCAGAGTGCTCAGGACCTCAGACTGGGCTGAAGGTTCACCTTCCAACAAGACAATGACCCTAAGCACACAGCTAAAATAACAAAGGAGTGGCTTCACCACAACTCTGTGACTGTTCTTGAATGGCCCAGCCAGAGCCCTGATTTAAACCCAATTGAGCATCTCTGGAGAGACCTGAAAATGGCTGGCCACCCACGTTTGCCATCCAACCTGACAGAACTGGAGAGGATCTGCAAGGAGGAATGGCAGAGGATCCCCAAATGCAGGTGTGAAAAACTTGTTGCATCATTCCCAAAAAGACTCATGGCTGTATTAGCTCAAAAGGGTGCTTCTACTAAATACTGAGCAAAGGGTCTGAATACTTATGACCATGTGATATTTCAGTTTTTCTTTTTTAATAAATCTGCAAAAATGTCAAACATTCTGTGTTTTTCTGTCAATATGGGGTGCTGTGTGTACATTAATGAGGAAAAAAATGAACTTAAATGATTTTAGCATATGGCTGCCATATAACAAAGAGTGAAAAATTTAAGGGGGTCTGAATACTTTCCGTACCCACTGTATATTGTTGTTTGCTGTCAGTTTGACTGTATCCTCCTCCATGGCCAAACTAATAGCAGAATATATAATCGTTTTCATACTGGCCTGACAATGCCGTCATGATAACCAGGGTCCCATTTGTGATGACAGCTCAGCTGCACCTTGGACTGAGGAGTGGAAGTATGTTTGTGACCGTTTCTATAGGATAATGTTGAGCAACAAGGTCAGAGATGAACCTGTTTGAATGCTGGTTTTATAACTGATCTACATCAAACTGAGAAAACATTTCAAAACAAGCTACAGAGAAGCACCATAGATTTGGAGCCAGGTTTTCAGGGCTCCTCTACAATGTGATCGGATGACAACTAATAATCCAGATGTTTTTACATAAACATGGCAAACACTGTTGTATATAACACTCTCAATTCACAGTGTAGGTTATTGGTGGACCAGCATACAACACATCAACCTTCTCTCCCAGAAGTACTACTAATCTGTACCGAGTGTCTAGAGGGCTGTGGACTCTAGGAACCACAAGTAAACCTGCACTCTGATCTAGTATGGATGTGTTGATTAGGGGAAAGACGTCTTTGAGCAGCCTGGTCGGGATGGGGTCCAGGAGACATGTTGATGATTTAGATGAAGCAATTGTTGAGGTCAACTCAGAGAGATCTATAGGGGAGAAGTAGTCCAAGTATAAATGAGGTCTTACAGATGTTTCTAAAGCCATTGTAGTAGATGGCACATCTGCGAGAGCTGTGGGAGTGGTCCGACCAATTTCTTCTCTAATAGTTGTGATTTTATTTGTAAAGAAGCTCATGAAGTCATTGCTGCTGAGATCTAAAGGAATGTTAAGCTCAACAGCACTGTGGCTCTTTGTCAGCCTGGCTACAGTGCTGAAAAGAAACCTGGGGTTGTTCTTATTTTCCTCAATCAATGTTGAATAAAATGCGGTTCTAGCACTATGAAGGGCTTTCTTATATGTTATTAAACTATCTTTCCAGGCTATGAAAAACTCTTCTGACTTAGTGGAGCGCCACCTCCTTTCCAGTTTTCGTGATGCCTGCTTTAGGGAGCGGAGCTGCGAGCTGTACCACGGGCCTAGCCTCCTCTGTTTCACTACCTTCTTTTTCAGAGGGCCAATGGTATCAAGTGTATTACGCAGGAAGGCTGCAGTACTATCAACAAGATTATCGACTTGTATGGGAGTAAAGTTAAGGTGGCCTCCTTCCACTGTGTTGGCAAACGGCACTGAAGTAGATAAAGATGGAATTATTTCCTTAAACTTGGTAACAGCATTGCCAGATGGACATCTGCTGTAGTGGAATTGTTTCCCACATAGAGTATAATCCATTAATGGAAATTCAAAAGTTATTAGAAAATGGTCAGACAGAAGAGGGTTATGGGGAAAAACTATTAAGTGTTCAGTTTTGATGCCATATGTCAGAACCAGATCAAGAGTGTGATTAAAACAGTGAGTGGGTTTATTTACAGTTTGAGAGAAGCCAACTGAGTCTAATAATGAACAGAATGCATTGTTGAGGCTGTCATTGTCGGCATCTACATGAATATTAAAGTCGCCTACTATGATTATTTTATCTGTACTAAGCACTAAATCAGACAGAAAGTCTGAGAACTCACTTAAAAACTCTGAATAATGTCAGTACTATGAAACATACAACACTGTAATTGTTAGAAAGCATTACTACAGCAGGACAGGATGTTTAAAGCCCATGTTCAATCAATCATCTTCTCCATAAAAGGAAACAGTTCAAATCAAATCAAATCAAATTTTATTTGTATAGCGCCAAATCACAACAAAAGTCATCTCAGGACACTTTACAAAGTAAGGTCTAGACCTTACTGTTAACAATATTATTACAGAGGGAAAACCAAACAAATCCCCCTTGAGCAAGCACTTGGCAAAAGTGGGGAGGAAAAACTACCTTGTCCTTTCAACAGTTCAGTTTCCTTTCTGAGTCTAGTCCAGAGCCGGGACGTGTTAGCATAGCTTAGCACAAACACAGTCTGATGATCCACACAATGGTCAACCTTCTCCTGTGATGACCGTCTAAAGCAACACTAAGCTTCATACATGACTGCTGACACCAGCAGGTTTAATTCTGATCCAAAGAGGGTCCTGTTCATTTCAGACTTGGTACCAAACTTATACTGATTTTTCTGTACAAATCTGTGCTTTCCAGTGTCAGTGAATGCAGCACAGACTGAAGGTGGTTTTGCTGATACTGGCAAACTGGGAACGCACCAGTTCTTACTTATCAACAGAGTCCAGTGTGTCCACATCCATACTGTCTAAACGTGTAGAAACTCAGGGGGAACAGTGAACAGTGTTTTCACCTTCAGTTTGTCACGGTGTCCTAAACAGTTGCTTAACTCCTTCCTCTGTTGACCTCTTCAAAGTTCTCTTGTCTGAATGTGAACTCTTATGGGGCTCCAGAATCCACAGGATTTTCAGTATCCTCCAGTACAGGTTTCAAGTGGGAGAGGAGAAAGTTAATGGAATTCCATAGTATCCACAGATAAGGCTTCACATACCATACATAAAAAGGTTTTGTTGGGGTCAGACCCATGG